AAACCCCTAAACCCTAAACCCTAAACCCTAAACCCCTAACCCCAGGATGAGAGCCAGCACGCCGGGCTCGTAGAAGACGCACGGGTCCAGGCCAAACTCATCAAAGCAGTACTGGCTCTTCAAGACCTGCACGCAAGGGCTTCGCTCGGCTGCTCCGGCTAAGCACATTTGGTTGCTGGGATTCGTTCATGATGAAGCATGCTAACGGCTAACGATCATCATATTATTCTTCTTCTCCTTCTTACTCTTCTTCTTTTTGTTCTTCTGCATCATCATACAGCTCCGGATCAGGCTCAGACTGCAAGGAGGCCGATTTCGTAGGGTTTTCAATGACATCCCTAATCCTCACATGTGAGCCCCTGACTCCTGCAACGGCTCCCAAAAACTCCCCTCCCCCCCCCCCCCCAAACAAAAAGAAGGCTGGCGTAGACGGGGTTCACGTTGAGCCAGTTGTAGCAGAAGTCCTCGCAGCTTTGGCACCGATCCTTAGCTGTCGGCAAGAGGGGAAGGGGGGTACAAAAGGGGGCACCTTTTTGGCAGCTCCCATGCCAAGTTGAGCTGAGGGCCTAAAGTCTGATGACTCAGTAGGCTACAAAGGGCAATCCTGTACCAACAACATGAGCACTTTCGCTAAACAATGAGCCCATCTTCGGGTGTTCCCGACATACTCTGGCCACCCCCTCAATCCTGAACCCTAACAAGCCCTAACACTCCCCTCGCCTCGTAGCCCGTCATTTCGAGATATCAAGCAAGAACCCCCCCCCCCCCCCGTGCAACGGTCGCAGAGGCTCATCATCCGACCTCTCGCGAGTTCGTTCCAGCTGGTCCTCAAATAGCAGTGTGGTGAGGGCTCGGGTCTAGGGCTTAGGGCCCCAGGGTTGCCCAGTTTGGGACCAACTCGGGATCTCATGAGAAGACCGCATCACCATCCGCATGCTCAAGGGCAAGGGACGCCAACATCCCAGCACCGCAGCCAGCCCCAACACGAAGACGCGCCTAAACCCTAAACCCGAAACCCTAAACCCCAAACCCCAAACCCTAAACCCCCCCTACACCCTAAACCCCAAACCCCTGAACCCCAAACCCCAAACCCTAAATCCCTTCTTTCTGCCGTGCATCGAGCTCACCCCTGAAGCGGAGTGGCCAGGGGACGCCCAAGGCCCAGAGTAGAGACCAGTAGACCGCCTCTAACAACGGTTTCGGTGGTTGTGGGACTGTGGGACTTAGTCTTCAGGGGGTCCCTAAACCCTAAACCCCAAACCCTAAACCCCAAACCCGAAACCCGAACCCCTAAACCCCTATAAACCCCTAAACCCCTAAACCCCTACACCCCTAAACCCTTAAACCCCTGAACCCCTGAACCCCTGAACCCTGAACCCCTGAACCCCTGAACCCCTGAACCCCTGAACCCCTGAACCCCTGAACCCCTGAACCCCTGAACCCCTGAACCCTAATCGGGTTGAGGGTTCGGGGCTTTTCTTTCCCACGAGGTGTCAACCCGCGAGGCCCCCCAAAATACACCCAAACGACCCAATCTCTCTTCACTTTTTGCGCGCGGCGGCTCGTAGAGGTTTGGGGTTTAGGGTTTAGGGTTTAGGGCTTAGGGTTTAGGGTTTAGGGTTTAGGGTTTAGGGTTTAGGGTTTAGGGTTTAGGGTTTAGGGTTTAGGGTTTAGGGTTAGGGTTTGGAACCCAGGAAAACAAATTTTCCCTTAGCCCTTTGTAGGGATTAAGAGGGCTTACAAGGACTTCATCGGGATACACAGGGATCCATTGGGTTTACAAGGCTTAATTGGGTTTAGGGCCATCAGGCTTGGGGGCTTCGGGCTTTTAAGGGCAACTCTCACAACTCTCATCTCGTCTGTCTTAGGGTAGTGTCATGGTCCCTCAGTATGGGCCCTGAAAAAAAAGGAGCCCTAATAATTATGCCCCTCATATACCCTTTACAAGCTCAGGGCCCATACGTCAGAACCCCTTAAAGAGGGGTTCTGAAGCCCGATCGTCTGAGGCCGGGACGTACGAAGCGGCCACCGCTTTCAAGATGGATATCCACTGCCTGGAAGGGCAATGGAGCTCTGAAAGCTCTGAAACCGAGCCGCCACCGAGGCCTACTCCAGCACAGACCCCGAAACCCTAAACCCGAAACCCGAAACCCCAAACCCTAAATCCTAAACCCTAAGCCCTAAACCAACCCAGATTGACACAGCCATAAGCGCGAGCATCTATATGTCGCCCAATATCACATCTGATCTCGTTGTACTCATGCCACGCAAGCACAACTCACCCCCAAATGTGGACCTTCATTCAGATTTAGGGTTTTTAGGGTTTTGGGGCTTTGGGGCTTTGGGGTTTTTGGGTTTTAGGGTTTTAGGAGTTTAGGGTTTTAGGGTTTTTAGGGTTTTAAGGGTTTTAGGGTTTTGGGGTTTCAGGGTTTTTTGGGGTTTTAGGGTTTAGGGTTTAGGGTTTAGGGTTTAGGGTTGACGGGAGGTCTACAGGTCAGTGGCCACATTCCGGCACATGAAAACATCATGTCGCTTCACATGCCGAGAACTGGCGAGAAAAAAATCGCGGCCACCTGTTTGCATACTATAGGGGTCGGAATATTTACGAATAGTATTCCCTGTCCTTACATATTAATAGTGAGTTAACCCCCGAAACCCGCTTCTAGCTATCAAGGCCCCTGTGTTGCCAAGGGTGCAAGCTCTTCAGGAGGATCCCAACATAGGTCTGCAGCTCACCCTCCCCCCCCCCCCCCCCCCCCCCCCCCCCCCCCAGACCTTGCTAGCATCAGAGTCCCTCAACCCTACACACCACACACCCTAAACCGCATAATTACACCCTAAACCCTATACACCCGAAACCCCTAAAGCTTGTAAGCCCTATAACTCCTATACACCCTAAGCCCTAAACCCTGCCTAAACCCAACACCCCGCACCCTAAACCCTATGCACCCGAAACCACCCCAAACCCTAAACCTTATGCACCCTGCACCCTGAACCCTGAACCCCATGCACCCTACACCCGAAGCCTTACACCCTAAACCCTAAACCCTAAACCCTAGGCCCTCGGATTGCCGTCAGAAGGCCACTCTTGCAGCCGAGCACGCCAGTACGCATGGCACGCCGCCTCGGGGATGCTCTCGGGAATGACCCGATTCTTGAACCCACGGTAGGGGTTTAGGGTTTCGGGTTTCGGGTTTAGGGTTTAGGGTTTCGGGTTTAGGGTTTAGGGTTTAGGGTTTAGGGTTTAGGGAGAAGCCCCTCAGCAGAAGCCCCACGCCCCATAAAGCCGCACCCAAGATGCCAGCTCTGCGAGCAGCAGGCCCCAGCCGAAGTAGAGGACCATGCTGTCCTGGCGACTCTCGGGTAGGGTTTAGGGTTTAGGGTTTACGGTTTAGGGTTTAGGGTTTGGGTTTAGGGTTTAGGGTTTAGGGTTTAGGGTTTAGGGTTTAGGGTTTAGGGTTTGGGGTTTGGGGTTTGGGGTTTGGGGTTTGGGGTTTGGGGTTTGGGGTTTGGGGTTTGGGGTTTGGGGTTTGGGGTTTGGGGCTTGGGGCTTGGGATTTGGGGTTTGGGCTTTGGGCTTTGGGCTTTGGGCTTTGGGCTTTGGGGTTTGAGGTTTGGGGTTTGGGGTTGGGGTTTGGGGTTTGGGGTTTGGGGTTTGGGCTTTGGGCTTTGGTTTTGGGGTTTGCGGTTTGGTTTTTCAGAAACCCTACCACGACCCAAAACCCCTCACACCTCCAAACCCTCACACAAATCCTCAAAAACAATCAAGTCGAAGATCACTGGAAACTCCTCAGACCCTCTGAAAAGGACTTGCAACAAGACAGCTCCTCGCAAAACCCAACAAGGGCAGAACGGAGAAACACCCTAAACCCTAAACCCCAAGCCCTAAACCCTAAACCCTAAACCAAGGGCCTGCCTAGGACAGCCCCCCCAAAGAAAGGCCCTTCCATCGGGTCCAGCTTGTTCGATGTGCAATACCTCAGATGCCACCGTTGCGGAGTCTCACATGGTAATATAGGGGCTTGAATAATTAGAATAGGGCTTGGGGGGGCCCTTAATGTATAATCATACAAGGACCATAAGGGAATACTGTTTGTATTTATTCCGACCCCTTTACTAGAGCTTGGGGTTCGGGGCTATGGGGCTCGGGGCTTGGGGTTTGGGATTTGGGGTTTGGTGTGAGTAAGGGCCAACTGCATTATAGAATCGGCATTTGGCTCGTAGATTCTCTTTTCGCCGGTAGAGGCTTTATAGGGAGATCCTATTGTGGGGCTTCGGCAGTTCAGGGCATCTTGACGCAGCTTCATACTCTGAGTTTCGTGTTGCGCGTTTAAAGCTTACAGCAGGGCCGGTAGGGCTTTGGAGCTTGGGGACTTATGGTTTGGGGATTTGGGGTAACCCTACACCCCTAAGCCCTAAGTCCCAAACCCTAAACCCCTAAACCCGGTTTGAGGGTTTACGTGGTTTTGGGGTTGGGTTCTACCGGGGCCTTCGTGCTGGACGAGAAGTGCCATAATCGGGCCTTCGACCCTAAACCCTCAAACTTGTGGAGGCATCCTTACCCTAAGAGCGCAGCCACATAAGCGCTGTTGTAAGTTCTGGACCCCTTTGCAAAAAGGGGGGGGAGGGGAGGGTCAAGGATTGGTATAATCCAAAATAAAGTATTCCTTCAAATTCTGGATTCAATACCTAAAAAAATGCAGCAAACTTCCCGGGACTTGAGAGATCACCTTTCGCTTGCGAGGGCTTCACGTCCGTCAGGTCTTCCACCCCAAAAGGCCCACTTTGTGCCTAAAACGCTGAATTCCGGCGCGCTTCCCCTCAGATTCTACGGAAGAGGCGATTCCTACGGAAGGCGCCTCTTGTGGGGCAAATCTCATTTTTTGAGCCACTTCTGCCCTACAGCACCCTAGTTGACCATTTGCAGGTTTCTCAGAGGGTCTAGGGCTTGTAGGGTTTAGGGGTTCAGGGCTTAGGGTTGAGGGTCTAGGGTTTAGGGCTTAGGTCGTCGTCCAGTCACCAAACTTTGTGGTGACGATGGTCTGCCTCGTGGTTGTCACGGGGCGGACTTGCTTGATGCTGCTGGGCATCCCAGGCGTCAGCGTCTGCTGCACCTTGATCTTAACCCGCGCCGGGAACTCCCCGGTTCGCACGCCGAAGAAGAAGTACCATCGGTCGTACAGGATACTTCTCTGAGGTCCAAGATCGTCAAGCTCCACCACCTCGATCCACTCCGCCTTGTTTGCTTCCAGGGCGTCCGCATACTTCCGGGTCCAGGGGTACGCCTTCGTCCACCGGGGCGTGCGCGCGCCCTGCTCGTAGATCTTGAGCATGAAGTGGTCCAAGTCACCTTGCGGAAAGCGCCAAACCCAAACCCTAAAGCCCTAAAAACCTACGCCAAACCCTAAGCCCTCAGAACCCGATACACCCTAAACCCCAATAAAAGCCTCAACCCTAAACTCCGAACCCTGAACCCTAGACCCTGAACCCTAAACCCTGAACCTCAACCGATCTCGGGTCTCAGACGCCTTCCACCGTCAGCGCCGCCAGGGCCTCCTCCCGGGCGCTGCAGCTGCAGCACCCCGGTGAGCTCGTGCGCCCCAGGAAGCTCAGATAGTTCAGGCAGCGAGTCCGGAACCTTGGAATTTTCGGTGAAAACCAGACTCAAGACCAACCTGGGAACAACAAGGGGGTGGCCCTCGGTGGTTTGAAAGGGGCTTATGTCGGAACCTAGACTGTAAAAAATGGGAATAAGGGCCTAGACTGGGTCCGAGTATACGGGACTTAATAATAAGAATAGTAAGTTTCTCTTTTTGTGTGTGGGGGTGGGGGGGGGGGGCTAATTATAGTATTCTGTTTTTCGGGACCAGAAGGGGGTACTATTCCGGTCCCTGTATGTACGCAGCTGGTAAGAAACTACGATGACCAGCAACACAGCGCACCTTCTCGCATCCATGTTCTCATCAAAACACGGATGAGTTTTTACAATCAACAAATAAGACATAATAGATATCATGTACCAGCCACTCAACCCTAAATCACCCCTAAGTCACCCCTTAATCACCCCTCAATCACCCCTAAGTCACCCCCCAAACCACCCCTAAATCACCCCCCAAAAAAAAGCGGCCTTGATCAAGGCCCCTAACTCTCCAAAGAGGGGGGGCGTGCTGGGCTGGACCCGCCGGCCCGCGAGCTCGGGGAGGGCCTCCACCTCCAAGGCCAGTGTGGTGGGCCAGCGCAGGAGCCATCGGGCCCAATGCCCCGTGTAGGTCTTGATGCTCACCTCTTGGGAGGGTTTTGGGGTTTAGGGTTTAGGGTTTGGGGTTTGGGGTTTAGGGTTTCGGGTAGGGTTTCGGGTTTAGGGTTGGGATGTTCTCCCTTATACTCACAGTCCTTAATGCGGATTTAAGTTTCCCCCCTTTACGAGATTAGAACCCCTATTTGGGGACTGCGTGTAACAGGGAACATCCCAGCTCACCTCACTTAAGGGTGAAGGTCTTGTGAGCTCGGAAGAATTTCTTACTTAGAACAACTAAAAACGCCAGAGAAAAAACAGAACGAATGTTCAAGCACCGTGTGGTGTTGGGCTTGGACCTCAGACCCGAGCCCCAGAACCCTGGAGACGGCAGTTGGGGTGTCAGGGTTTGTGTAGGGGTTCAGGGTTCAGGGTTTTGGGCTTTTTGGGGCTTTAGGGTTGTAGGGTATATGGCTTTAGGCTTTTAGGGCTTTAGGCTAGCAATCATATGGATTACGGCTTAGGGCCAAACTCCGAAACGTCCGGGAAAGCTGCTCTAAACCCTAAACCCTAAACCCTAAACCCTAAACCCTAGACCCTAAACCCCAAACCCCAAACCCCAAACCCCAAACCCCAAACCCCAAACCCCAAACCCCAAACCCTAAACCCTAAACCCTAAATGTGGGGTTGGGCGCCTCCAGAACCTCCAGGCGCACGGTCCTCCGCATGGGACCCGGCTCGTGGAGAGTTCGCTCCTCCATGTTCTGCGCAATCCGGCCTTTTCAGGGGTTTAGGGTTTAGGGTTTAGGGTTTGGGGTTTAGGGTTTAGGGTTTAGGGTTTTTGGTGTTGGGTGTTGGGTTTTGGGTTTTGGGTTTTGGGTTTTGGGTTTTGGGTTTTGGGTTTTGGGTTTTGGGTTTTGGGAGGATGATACCCCTGAAGGGTTCCTAAAAGTAACCCAACAGTAGCAAAAGGGCACAAATTCTTTGGGGGGCTCTACTTCTTGGACCCTCCCAAAATTCTGGGTTGCAGGATCCGAAGCCGCGGTTCAGGGTGTGTATCAGGGGGGGGGGTCTGGGGCTTGGGGGGCTTAGGGGGTGTGTTATGGCGGCGGCCTTCTCTTGAGCCGTACTGGATGAGGTGAACAGGTGTAGGGGCTGTCTGAGAGCAGAGCCGGCGCAACGTCAAGGGGACAGCCTCCGCGAACCAGCCGAAGGGGTTTAGGGTTTAGGTTAAGGGTTGAGGGCTTAGGGCTTAGGGTTTAGGGTTTCGGGTTTCGGGTTGAGGGCTTAGCGTTTAGGGTTTAGGGGTCAGGGGCTGGGCTGTTTGTCGTCGGGTTGAAAGGTTCAAGGGTGTAGGATGGCAAAAGGTGTTCGCAGGTTTTGACAGGCTGGCAGCAGCCTCAAAGCACACCACTCCCAGCACGGCGCCCCGCACCAGCTCGGCGATGTCTACGTCTGCTTGTGGCCACGACCAGAGCCCGCAGGCGTGTGCTTGGGAGAAGGCCCAGGTCAGCAAGGACAGGGAAGACAGGAGCAGGGACAGGGCGAAGTTGAGGATGTGCAGGGGGAAGAAGCAGTAGAGCAGGGAGTCCGAAACATCAGGCCGCAGCTTCGCCCACGTGCACAGGCCGCTCGCATCGAAAGCCATCTGTCCCAGAAGGGCGACGAGCAGTCCGAGTAGAAGCACGTGCACCCAGCCCAGGCCATACACGACGCAGCTAAACGCTGCAATCTGGGACGCCATCCCCTGCGCCATGGCGAGGAGTCCCCCAGCTGCTCCTCGGCCAGAGATCACGAGGACGGCCCCCGCCAGCGCGATCAAGATGGCAGCGGGCAGGTTCCGGCAGACCCCAGGGCATGCCTGCTTCGTGCCAAGCTCACCTCTGGCTCTTTTTTGTTCATGTTGTGCCTTCTGATTAGAAGGCTACCCCCCACCCTTTCGGCTACTCTGACGAGTGAACCCAAATACAGTGCCCACCGTGGCTAAAAAGTCAGACACCCTGCCTAGACCTGCGCGAAGATGGGCCGCCAGGCTCCCAGCTCGGGCAATGTCATGCGCCTTCCCTGGCGACAACTCGTAGTTCGCGCTGATCTGGTGGAGAACATGACTCCCCTCCGGGTGATAGAACATGGCCTTCTCCATGAGGCTCGTAAGCCTGGAAGCCTTGTGGCAAGAATCCGCCGTCAGCAAGAAAGCCTCTATCTCGGGCTGCTCGGAGGCACGTTTCAGCAAAGACCCAAAGGCAGAGCCATCTTGTACCACAGCGGCCTCAAACAACTGCATGATCTGGCTATGGCAGTGGTCCTGCCTTAGCTGCTGGTGCGCGCGATCCAAGGTTTATAATAAGCCTTTCTTGTGATCATACTCTGTGGTCTTAGGGGTGTGGGAGGGGCGTACCACTCTTCCTCCGAGCTTGGGCTTCCCCCGTTATCCCCCCACCATGCCGAGAAATCGAGGCGGCCTCAGCAGCTCTGGCAGAGCGAGGTCGGGATCTTCCCAGGCTTGGTCCAGGAGCTGCCCATCTTGCTGAAGGGCCGCCTGCAGGGACTTGCAGGCTTCGGAATTGCAGACGGGAGAAATGAATAAATATAGCAGCGATATACAGAAATACACAGATATGCATATGCGTGCATGAGGGCGAGAGAGAGTGTGTTTGTGTGCGAGTGCTTTAGCTGCTTTAGCTTGCACGCGTGCCATGTACTCAGGACTCCGGCCTCCAGAATGGAAAGCTTGGCGGAGGGCTTTCGGGCATCGCGGTCGTCAATCTCAGACCAGTTCACCAGGCCCAAGGCTTGGCTGTTCTGCTGCACCGCCTGCCTTGCCATGTCAGTGTAAAAGTGGTCGTAGATGCAAGCCCGGGCGAAGCGATCGACTTGACACTCTGGCCACTTTGACTCCAAGACCTGCTGAGCCAGTCTCAGGTTGAGGCCGTTCTGGGCCACGAGCTTGGGCAGAAAGCTCTGGAAGCTGTGCTCCAAGTCTTTGCTCCCACAGCTCGCCTTGTTCTCGACCTCCAGCAGCTCCTTGAGGAGGCGCAGGAGGGTGGGGGCCGGCCTCATCAGCAGCTCATCGTAGCCACAGGACCGGGAGTGGCCCGAAGGGCCCCTGGTAAAGCTCCGCGCCTTCTGCTGCGCCAGGCCCGCGGCGAGGCGCCGCGCTAAGAGGAAGCCCATAACCGACAGGGCCACCACCAGGGTGGGCCAGAGGCCCCCGAAGAAGAGGCCCCGGAATGCCAGGAGGGACGTGAGGCCGAGGCCTAGCCAGGCGGCCAGCAGCCACACGCAGAGGTTCAGCCGACGGAGGGTCTCCAGCTCCTGGCCCCTGCTCTCCCTTCGCTGGCTCGGCTCCATGCTGAGCTCGACTTCATCCAGCAGGGATTCCTAGTTATCATGAGTGGGATAATATTGAAAATCTAAATTTCTATTTCTTAATGGGTTTAAGTACCCTTAAAGATGTAATGTGGTACCCAACTATGACAAAGATTCCGGGAAGGTCTCCTCCAGCACACCCTCCCGGCAGAAGAGCTTGAAGATCTCCTCCTGCCACCAGTTGGCTTCCAAGACCCCCCATCCAGCCAGCGCCAGACTTCGCTCCAGCACTTGCTGAATGGCTGGGGGATGCTGTTCCACCGCAATCTTGGCCAAGTCCCACCACGCCTGGTCGATCTTCTCCGCGCAGACGTACTCGAAGGACCCTCCGAATTGTTTCACCAACATCTTCCTTCCCGAATCCGTGGAAGGCCCACGCAGGAAAGAGCTGCAAAGCCTTTCGCTTTGCTGCGTGCAGCGGTTGAGGCCCTGTCGCACGCTGCGCCTCATGAGCAAGTGGCGTCCCAGGCACGACGCCACGAAGCTCAGCATGACCGCGCAGAACCACCAAGAGGAGCCCCCCTCGTTCCCGCAGAACTGCGGGCTGCAGGTGCTGTCAATCTTTACGGCCAGCTGCGCATGTGCGGGCTGCAGGTGAACGGTGCTCCGCGGCGTCCTCTGCGAAACCGCCCGGAAGTCCGAGGAACACACCTGGATCCCAGGGTAGCGGTAGAGGTAGGCCTCTGCAGCACCCGAACCCCCGAAGAAGGGCAGCCCGGGCGCACCAGCGAGGAGGTGCGCAGAAACCGCCCCCTGCGGCTGGAAGCCCAAGTCCAGGGTCTGCGGCTTCCTCTCCAGGAACTCCTGGCAAACCCAGGAGAGCCACCCAGTGACACCCTACAAATGCTGCAAGCATGAAACCCCCCTACCCGAAACCCCAGAAAGTAGCAAACCCTAAACCCTAAACCCTAAACCCTAAACCCTAAACCCTAAACCCTAAACCCTAAACCCTATACCCTATACCCTATACCCTATACCCTATACCCTGCACCCGCCCTCTTTCAGACCGGGCCTGGTCTTCGAAGGTCGGGAGCCCCTGTGTACTCCGCGAGGCCAGCTCATGGCACTCCCCTGGCGTCCTGGGCTGGGTACCTTCGTCCGCGTACCTTCGAGGGTCTATAGGGTTTGGGGGTTTAGGGGATTTAGGGTTTAGGGTTGAGGGTATTTAGGGTTTAGGGCTTCGGGTTTAGGGTTTGGGGTTTATAGGGTTTAGAGGGTTCATAACGCTTAGGGCTTAGGGGTTTAGGGTTTTCGGGGTGGCTCCCTGGGCTTGCAGAAGGCAAAGACAAGACGGACCGCGAAGACGAAGCCTTCAAAGAAAGCGCTTGCGGCCCGGGTTGCAGGGTGCACCGGTGCTCCTGGAAGGTGAAAGCCGCGCAGCGGGTCATGGCCAGGCAAAGAAGCAGGCAGTGGTCCAGCGATGTGGAGGCTTTCTCCTGGATCCTCGTGGTGCACCTGAGGGATGGGGAGACGATTTTGGTGCGGACCTGCATCATCTCGCTCTCATCCTTCCAGCAGCTCCCGCCCATGTGAGTTGGGGCGACAGTACAGAGCCACTGGAGCAGCCCACAGGGCACGGGACCCACCGTGACGGGCACCAGAAGGTGGCTGCTTACGCCCGAACACCGGAAAGAAAGCACGAGGTGCAGATCGCTTGACACATTACGGCCTGCTTTGTTGCCTTGGCCGGGTGGGCCTTTTTCCGACGCAAATGCAAACGAAACAGCGGACAAGGGACAGGACCGGTTTGCTCGCTCAAGCGTTGGCATCAGGCTTGCTTTGGGCAACACCTCTGCCCCCACTTGGACCCCATCCATCTCTGCGAAGCTCGTCGACATCAACCGGGGATGAAGCTGCTGCGTCACGCACTCTGCATCGCCTGGACTGCCACAGAGCCCGGTGAGCTGCAGCGCCTCCTTGTGATCGCAATCTCGGCAGGGGAGCCTCTGACTTTGCAATACTCGCTCCGCAAGGTGCCAAGGCCACAGCAGCAGGAGCAAGAGCACCGCAAGGAGAGACAGCGAGGTGCATCGAGACTCCTCCATGATCGGACCCTACATGACCACGTCTCCTGCGAGGGCCCCTCTATGCTGGAGCCGAAAGAGCCGAAGTGAGGCAGCATGACTTGGGTAGCTCGGGAGCACACGGCTCCAAGGCCCTAAACCCTAAACCCTAAACCCTAAACCCCAAACCCTAAACCCCAAACCCCAAACCCCAAACCCCAAACCCTAAACCCTAAACCCCTTCCCCCCCACAATCTCGTGCTCAGCGGCATCTTCTTACACACCCGGAGGTGCATGAAGCGCTGGAAGAAGTAGAAGAAGAAGGCCCAGACGCCTTAGCTGCCGAAGCCGCGGCCATCGCCGGTTCCCCCTAAACCCTAAACCCTAAACCCTAAACCCTAAACCCTAAACCCGAAACCCTAAACCCTAAACCGTGAGTTCCGGAGCACCTAGAGTCCAGAACCCCCTGGTTCTCAGGTCTCAAAGAAAGTAGGGAGCCCATCCGGGGTCGACTCTGCGGGGTTTAGGGTTTAGGGTGTTTAGGGTTTAGGGTTTAGGGTTTAGGGTTTCGGGTTTAGGGTTTAGGGTTTAGGGTTTGGGGTTTAGGGTTTGGGGTTTGGGGTTTGGGGTTTGGGGTTTAGTTTTGATAGACAGGGTGCAAAGGTAGGCCTGCGTCCACCACATGGAAGGGGACAGAATGAAGAGCGTGAGGCAGCAACCTCGGGGGGACGGTCCAGAGTCGAGCCGGGCAGGGTCTAGGGCTTTTACGGTTATTAGGGTTATTAGGGTTATTAGGTTATTAGGGTTATTAGTGGTATTTGGGTCTAGGGTTTAGGGTTCGAAGGACCGAAAACAGTCGCCGCCCTGGGGCGTCTCCAAACTCAAGAGTTGAGACCCCTTGGCCAGCCTAGAACCTCGAATCTTAGAAGGGCCTGGTTTCGGGCTTAAGGCAGCCTTAAGGGTTGAGGCATAGTGGGAACCAGTCAAAGAGGCGATGCGAATCCCTAAGCTCCTGCTCGTCTGCTCGTTCGTAGCTGCCGGCCAACGATGACGCTAATGGCTGGCTAATATGAACACTTGCACCCTTGCACCCCTCGAAGCCCTCGAAGCCCTCGAAGCCCTCGAACCCCTCGAGCCCAGCAGAACAAACCCTAAACCCTAAACCCTAAACCCTAAACCCTAAACCCTAAACCCTAAACCCAAGGCCCCAAATCCATACATCCAGAGACCTGAAGCCCGATGCAGTGCAACCTGGCGTCAGCATGGCAGCGTCACGTGGCCCTGGTAGTCCCAGGCAAGGCCTCCAGGGAAAGGTCTTAGAGGGCACACTTCACCCTGCAACATAGCTCTCCGAATGCTATGGCCCCTAAACCCTCAACCCTAA